GCTCAGGCGGACGCAGAGAGAGAGCGAGAGCGAGAGAGCTGAGAGAGAGCTGAGGACTCCACCTGATGAGGATGATTTGGAGGACGGAGAAATCGACGCGATGAGAGCGGGCGACGACCTGCCGACGAGACGATTGAGATGACGAGACTAAAACCGCCGAGACACGAGACGAGACGATGACGGAGAGAGAAGACAAGAGAGAGACCACAGAGGAGCAAGAGAGACGAGGAGACGAGGACGGGAGACGCGAGAAGATAGAGAGAGAGGGAGAAGGGAGGGAGGGAAGGAGGGAGAGAGGGAAGAGGGAGGGAGGCGAGGGAGGGAGAAGAGCGAGACACGAGGAGGAGGACGAGCGTAATACACCTGATCAATATTTGCTTCAACACTATAGGCCAGCTTATCTGCCACGCCTAGCTGTGGTTTGCGCTGACTACGTCTGCACGCGTGCGGTAGGTAGGTGGATGGACTTGCCAAGAATATTTTTTAAGCCAGAAGATACGCTCGGTCGATTGGTGGTTAGTGTCGCTGAGAGAGAGAGAGAAAGAACAAGAGAGAGAGAGAGACGAGAGAGAGAGAGAGAGGAGAGAGAGAGAGAGAGGAGAGAGAGAGAGAGAGAGTAGAGAGGAGAGGGAGGGAAGCGAGAGGAGCGGAGGAGGGAAGGAGGAGGAGGGAGAGGGCAGGGAGGCGAGAAGAGCACGAGACAGAGGGAGGAGGAGAGCGTAATACACCTGATCAATATTGCTTCAACACTATTAGGCAGCTTATCTGTGCACGCTAGCTGTGGTTTGCGTGACTACGTCTGCACGCGTCGGTAGGTAGCGTGGATGGACTTGCCAAGAATATTTTTTAAGCCAGAAGATACGCTCGGTCGATTGGTGGTTAGTGTCGCTGCTCTATCTGGCTATATTGTCCGTCACAACAACTACGTTACACACGCCTGTTCTCCGGTCACGTGCCGCCATCTCGCGGCCGAAAACGATGAAAACCCACGCTTGTTTCTCGCCTCTCGCGCCGCTTATCGTCGTTCTGCATGCAGTAATATGTGTGCATGAATACTGTTAATCAGTAATTTAGTTTCGTAATTTCAATGGTTTTCATTACTTGCTCTTCTCGATATCCTTCACTATTAGATATCGACGCATTACATTGCTTACCTATTCTAGTGGACGTATATCACACTCTCAAGCCAATCGAGGGCGCTGGGATCGCCGTTTGGGCGTTTGTCATGGCAGCGCCATCCAGAGAGGCATAGACAGACACAAGATTGCGTGGCACAGCTTTGCTGTTGATCTTGAGCGCTGCGCGCGGATGAGACCGCGGGGATGTTGAAGTATGAAGTGCCTGTCCGCAGTGGAGACGTGCGCGCAAATTCGAGGCCGGCGCACGTCTCCACAGCGCGTCAGCGGATGGGTCTGTAGTTTTAGAGATAACAATGAAGACTTTGTTCTAAATAAGAACTATCGGCGGCTAAATAAGAGCCAATATAACAGACCTTTGAATTTCTTAACTAGTCAGTCAAAGGCCTTGTTGGGGTCCATTATGCAGAGCTTCCAATTGAAATGGCCATGAAATTGTCAAGTGGAATTGCTTGTTTTTTGTTCGCTTTTTCGGAACCCGAAAGAAAATGTCTCCCTCTTACATGCACCCCCTCCCTGATCAATCACGCATTCGGGCGTAAACAATAACAGAGATGAAATTGTGTTGAGATTGTGGCTCTTGACGCACGTGCATTGACGTACAAGACTGTTAAAAGCACAGTCACTTGCATCTCTGCAGTCGTAACAACGGGACTCGAACCCCGCGTCATCTCTGCAGTCGTAGCGACGGGACTCGAACCCCGCGTCATCTCTGCAGTCGTAACATCGGGACTCGAACCTGTCATCGCCCACGCAGTGTTCACATCCTAACCGCGTTTACTTTCCGCCAAGCTGAACCTTCAACTCACTTTCCTCTCTGCAGCAGAGGCGTGACGGACGTGAAGAAAGAACACGTTCCGACGGCCACCACCGCCGCCGCCGCCGCCGCCGCCGCCGCCGCTGCCGTCGACAGCAGGCTGCCCCTTGAAAAGCATCACCGTGACCTTGTCGACATACCGGAGGACGAGGGTTACCGAGCTTACTTCGATCACCCGCTCACGGCCGCCACACAGGCAATGATCAACATCAACGGTGGTGACGACCAGGCGAACGCTATCGGACTGCTCTACGAATACTACAAGCTGCCGGCCATCGAGAAACCTGACAAGACGGTCGGCGACATCTGGAGGTAGGTGCATGCGGCGCACGTGCGCTGGCTGGCTTGTGTTTGCGTTATATTATTGGGTTATGTAATGTTATATTATGCTTTATATTGCGTTATATATGTTGCGTGATATATGTTGCGTCATATGTATCGTTATATTATCAGGAGTCTATCAATAGGAGTATTGATAGTTAGGATTGATTATTAGGAGTATTGATAGACTCCTGATATTATGTTATTGCGTTATTTAATATTATATTAATTTATTAGATGGCTGGGCCAGTTACCAGAAATGATAATTTGTCGTGACATTATGGTTTTAAGTTTTAACGTTGAACATTGAACGTGCGCTGGTTGTTGTGTGTTTGTTGTTGTTTATTGTCGTACGTTTGCTTCATGTCCCTTTGTTGGACCAGTTACCAGAAATGAAAATTTGTTGTGACATTATGGTCTTAACATTGAACATTCAACGTGTGCTGGTTGCTGTGTTTTTGTCGTTGTCTGTTGTTGGCAGTCCTGCGTTTGCTTCGTGTCGCTTTGCTGGACCAGTGCTCAGAAACAAAATTAGTCGTAATATTATAGTCTTAGCATTAATTTTTTTCTCGTAGATCGGACCTCGATATACGGCATCAGAAACGCGTTAGTTTGCTACGTTTCTGTCGGTGGTCCATGGGCTATGAGAGAAAGTTAATACTAATACTACTGATGGAATTAATTTTGTTTTTGACAATGAGCCTCTGGTTGGTTGTTCGTTTGTTAGGTTATTAGGTTGTTTTGTTTATTTGTTTGGTTGGTTGGTTGGTTGGTTGGTTGGTTGGTTGGTTGGTTGGTTGGTTGGTTGGTTGGTTGGTTGGTTGGTTGGTTGGTTGGTTGGATCTAACCCGCTGCCCTGGTTCTAGTTTTCGCTAGTCCGGCTCATCTTCCAGGCCACACTGCTAGGCAACCTGTTTCGATGCGACACAGTGAGTTTTCTAGGTGATGCGAGCCGGACCAGTTTGTGGCTATTTACAAGAGTACACCGCTAACACCATCCACGCACCCACTCACACTGCCTGCCGCTGCTTACTTGCTGAGTTTTTCTGAGAGCAATACCGGCTCGTGATCAGGAAATACAACGTTTTCTAACGGATGCAGAAGGCGGGGGCGGACGCGGTGCTCGCAACGCCCTCGTGTGGTGCGTTGACAACTTATAACCTCGTTTTCTTTATGCGGCGACTGATCTTATATTCCGTCGATGTGTATATCGTTCACTTTCGCTTTCTCTCTTGTTCTTTCTCTCTCTCTCTCTCTTTCTTTCTCTCTTTCGCGCGCGCTCTCTCTCTTTCTCTCCCTCTCTTTCTCTCTCTCACTTTCTCTGTGGCCCTCTCTCTCACATTGTAACTCACCCGCAACCAACTAGAAGACTGACAAGGGTATAACCGCAGCATGGCGCTGATGACCTCACGGATCTGACGTCACTAAGCGTGTCATTAGAATCCGGTGCGATTCGTCGCGGACAGAAAGAAAGAAAGAAAGAAAGGGGAAGAAAGAAAGAAGGACGAAGAAAGAAAGGGGAGGAACTGTTTTTCTTAGAATCGCGCAGTTTTTCGACGCGCGCGCGGCGAGCGGCTGGGCGAAACAAAAGCGCATCTGTCACTGATTGTATAATTATTTTCAATCCGCGACGGCGGACGCCGGAAGTACTTACGATGAGCACCGCACAATGGCGCCACTGTGCCGGAGAAATCACACGTATTGTTTATCCCCGCTTGGATAGCAACAAAGGCCGGTGACTGGGTCGGTAATGCGTGTCAATCAGGAACCATGCAACGTCACTCCCTCTATCACTAGCAGTGAGCATAATCGCCCTTTCCCTTTCTCATCACCCGCTTTCCTTCGCTCTCCCATCACCCTGACTCCTTGTCACGTACCTTCGCTCCTTGTCCCTTCTCTATCGCGACATTAAATTAAGCGCTCGGAGCTTCGGTCAAACGCTAAAAATTCGTGGCTAGGCCATAGAATCACGAGGAATATCCGACCATTCGGACTTCGCCCTCTCTCTCTCTCTCTCTCTCTCTC